TTTTTGAGTGAAGAGGTTTGTAAACAAAAGGGAAAGGATAGAGATGACTCTTGAAGTCATACTTCAAGTTGTTTTAATGAAAGTATTAAGACTTTATTAGCAAAGAAGTATAAGAACTTCTTGTGAACATCTTTTTTGTGTGTGATCAGAGGATCAGCGGAAAGAGTTTTTGTGTAAAATGAAAGATTCAGAACATATATATTTATAAAGTATATATAAAAATTTAAGTAAAAGTTTATATAAAATGATATAAATATCTTAGTATTAATCTAGAAACAAAATGAATAACTCAATTGATACAAAAATAATAAAAGCTATATTTTCTAAATCTGAACTCAATAATAATAAAATAAATAGTATATTAATTAAGAGAAATAACAATTTAGCTAGACTTCTGAAAATTAAATAAAACATATGTTAATTGATTGTTAAAGCTTTAAATGATATGTAAGCTAAAGTATACTATATATTCAAATATTCTTATATATTTAAAAATGAAACTTTACAGTAATCTGTTTTGATATACAAAAAAATAGAGATAATATATACAAATAATACGTTTTCTTACAAGAGTTATATTTTTTCTAAAGTGTTAAATATACCTTTAAGCCCAAAAAACAAAGTCTTTAAAATAAAACAAAAAAATTTAAACAAAAGAAATAGGCATAATAAAATAGAAATAGATAAGAAATCAATATCAGATTTATAATTAAATAATAAATTTATAGATTCAATTTCTATTTCTATATGACACTATAGCTTTTAAAATCAAAGACAAACTAGATAGTATAATAATAGTAGAAAGAAGTAAGAAAGAAATAAACTAATAGATATTTAGCAATAGAAAATAATAAGAAACTAATACAAAATCATTGATATAGAAATCATAGATACTTAGAGTAAAAGAGAAGAATTGATACAAAAAGTATATAAGATCTTCTAAAAAATATTTTAGTCAATTTATAAAAGTTAAATGGTAGAATAAATATATTAGAAGGATGAATAGCTTTTAAGAGATCAAGGCAAAGTAGCAGAGAAGCAAATCACCTTTTCATACTAATTAAAAGAAGCAAGGCTCAGTTTCTTCTTATCAAAAATTAATAACATGGATAAGAAAAAAACAATCAATAAAGATAATACAATAGAATAGAATAGGAATTCAAGTATAAGAGTATTCCTATAAAAGAAGTGAGAAATATTCTTAAATCATAAAGATAAACACAATCCAGGAAAAAGAATATCAAAAAAGAGGATAAAATATATAAAAAGATAATAAAAATAAGCATACATAATATTAGAAGTATTATAGATAAGACAAATTAATAAAGTCTTATTGAAGAAATTCTAGAACAAGGAATAGAGATACTGGAACCATATAAAACAAAACTAATTTAGGTCAATGCACAATGAACTTTCAATAATCAAAAGATTTATAAATATTTTTATAATATCAACAAACACACACCTTTCAGATTAGATATCAGTTTTCTAATCAAAAAAGATTTTGAAAAAAAAGTAAAACATCAGTTCCTTAGGTGATCCAATCAAAGAATGATATTAAGGGTCGTTAAATCAAATCCATTCAAATTGGGGAACAATTCATTGTAAGGATGGTTTTTAATGAGTCTAAACATTCTAGAAGTTTTTTTTTTATTTACTAAGTATTAAAAAATAGTTGAGTACAATATACAATTTCTTTAATGTAAACAATAAATATATGAAACACCAAATTAGGCATTCTTTTTTTGATTTATGATAAATCTTATCGATTTAAAAAGTTCTAATAAGCTTAATCCGAATTTTAAAAAATGTCTTTATAGGGGATCACCAAAATCATCACCAATGACATAAACTAAAGATTCCTCCGTGAATTCTTCACTGTAATTATTATTTGAGATATTTTTAGTATTGCAATTTGATACGACGTCGGAATTGGGCAAGGTAGGAGCGGTAGGGGATGCGGACAAGGTGTTAGATAAAGTGATGAAGGTGGGAGTGGTGGGAGTGGTAGGAGATGCGGGTAAGGTGAAGGTGGATGTTGCGGGTGAATCAATAGTGGAAAAATCGGTGAGAGCGGGAGAAATGGGAGAAATGGGAGAGGTAGGTGATGCAGTTGAGGTCACAATGTTCTTTGTGTGTGACTTATCAAATGTCGAGATTCCTGAAGGATTATTTGGCGAAGTTCGTGTGGTTTTCGTTGATAACATTGCTTCGTTGATTGATCTTTCCACGGTGTGCACCGTTTCTAATGTTTTTCTTCTTGCCGCCTTAACGCTATTCGTGAAATTAATGGGTAAGAGACTCTCTAATGGAATACTGATCGAAAGATGTTCAAAAAAAAAAAAAATACTCACGCTCCGGATTCGACTAATGAAGAAAATCCCCTGCTTATATTCGACCAAGCTTGCGAAGTAAAATCTGCTGTCCTTCGCTTTGTTTGTTGTATACTTATAGTTGAAAAGTACACAAAAGGTTAATTAATGCATTAAATTAAATGAAAAAGGTTGTAATTTCGAATCTAACTCACGGCGTCGAATTCGCTACATCTGATACAACGTTTCTTATCTGTGATAATTTTTCTTGAGTTCTAAATATTCGCGGAAGATGATTTATTTGTATTAAAACAACAAGTATAAATAATAGTTAGCTCCTAAAATGTTAAAATCAATTTCTGTTCTAGCATCTAAAAAATCGCACTGTAATAATGATGATAACATGATACTTACGCATCACTTTCCTTCACTTTTTGTATACCATCTATAACGCTATTGATCCCTTTACCTAGTCCACTCATTAACCTATCAATTTCATCTTCTTCAGAACTATCCGACGAGATTGATGATCTCGGTGACATGTTAATATTAATGTCCTCGGCGTCAGCCATCCTCTCATTTAGTACTATAGTTTCCCATTGATTTTTCAACAATCGCAGTTCTTCTTCGTGCCTCTTTAATTCTTCTCTTAATTCCGATACCTTGCATTCCTTTTTTGCAATAAAATGCAAAAGCTCTGCATGTTGTTCTGATGGAGTTGACGGAGTTACACGCAAATTCTTAATTGTGCGTTCGGTCTTCAGATGAGTTTAAAAAAAGCATCAAGATAATCTAACATGTTATTCATAGATCCCGAAAATTGTCAAAAACAAAAGAAAATCTTTCTGCATTCGTACTTTAACTTCTTCGTCAGTATCATCGGCGCCTTGTTTTTTAAGGCTTCCCTCTTCCTCTTTATTCGATAACATTTATCTTTCGTCTTGTAGAGTTGTAATGTTTTGTATGAATCAGTACGTTCAAAAAAAAAAAAAAAAAAAAGGAATGATCGAGTTCGATGGGTTAACAGTTAGTATTAATATACAACATAATCGAATGACAAGGCTTAAAAGAGACAAAGGAGTTCTTTTAATTTTTAAATCTACATTTATACAGATTTGCAACCATGTGATTCATGATGTGCAACAATCGAGTTCCTTTTATGCGTACGATCTTTGAATTATGCGATGAAAGGTTATCTGGTTTTAAACGAGATTCTTTCTCTCTGAGGCTTTTAATAGAAAGCCTGTTTGTAGAAGATAAATGTATTTGTATTCCTATTTTCGCTTATTCCATGTCACAAGTAGCTGCTAAATTGGTGCATGCGTATTTGCATCTCTTAGTATTTTCATTACTAAGCTGAAATAACGCGTGAAGTGTTTCTATATTCTCAGATCTGCATAGCGCATTATTTACCATTTTAAGGTTGGTAAGCAGAAATGTTTCTTACTAGTAACGCCTTTCTGATTAATTGTTTCAAACAATCTCATTTCGAAAATACAAATTCCCGAGTTGTGAAAGCTTGTCATAGGCCTTGACTCTTTATTTTACGTTGGTTCTTTTACGCATCGTGTGTGAATTCTTTCAATTTACATGAACAAACAAATGCACTTAAATCGTCCGTCGGCGCACTAGGCCTGGTGTGTGAACTTCCGAGTGTGTTAATTTGCAAAGTAGATCTATTACATGTGCCACATATACTGTTCAAATAAAAAAAGAAGTAGGACATCTTCGCATTCATTCTAAATTTTTACATGCGGTTACACCATGATTCTATGACACAACTAAAAATTGCGGACGTCATATCGTGATTCAAGTAGATTCAGTATTCTCGTTCCAATTTTTTTATTATTGATATCTTCTTTGCCTCAGGTTTAGCGGCGTTCCCTACGTAACGGTTGTGGTTGAAATGAATTAAGATATATTGACCGACACGCCCCTAAATATTTATTTTTCCTCGGCTTGCCCATCACCAAAGTTTCCTATAATGCGGCCAACTTGTAATGCCAGGTTTTATTCTTGACAAAATCCTTGGACAAACTTTTTCAGCCGCCACCCTTTGGATAGGCGGATGGTTGAGGCTAACCAAAATTCTCGTTTTTTGTTTTATAAACAAATAAATATGGTTTATTTTAGGAAGGTAGGTATAATGCTTTATTGATTGAACTTTGATAAGTCAAGTTTTTTGCCAGGGCCGTCAGTAGAAAAAAATTTTTACGGAAAATTAGTCACATCTACATTCACTCCCCAAAGTAACGCCGCCCTTAATTAAGTAAGATCCTGCTTTTACACATCGAATTCACATCTTACTATTTTTTAGTTCAAATTCCTATTACATTTTTATAGAATGAAAAAATACAGTACTTTCAGGATTTCATCGAGTTTCAACCAAAAGAATGTGACAGAATAGCTTTAATGATGGCATGATATGACAATAATAAAAATAATTTACGGTCACGTGACTTTCGTGTCTATTGAACTTACTTTCATCAACTTTCATCTTCTTGAATTGATCTTAAATATTATAGAGTCTATTTATTATTTTTGATAATATATACAGTATATAGCATAATATAAATAAGATAAAATAGCAAATTTAAAAAAAACAAATCAATTCGAATATACAAAAAGATCAGTATCCCTTCAAATTATATATATAAACATATTACAGATTACTTTAGAAATATTATTGATATTAATTTATTAACATTTGTTTTTTTTTTTTCTTTAAATTTCTAGAAAAAAAGAAAAATAATCATAAAAATTAATTTCTAAAGAATTTCAATTTTAATTTTACAAAACATATAATCAAGTTAATATAAATTAATATCATTTTAATGTTACAAAAAATCTTAAAAGTAATTAAAACTATTTAATAAATAAAATTACTTTAATTGTTACAAAATTAAAAAAAAAATTAAAGATTTTTAAATACAATACATCTAAATATATATATAATAATATATTAAAATAATAAATTTATTTTAAAATCTTGTTATATAAAAATAAACAAGTAAAATAAATATATACAATTTATTAATAAAATTAACAATAAGCACTCTTTCCACTAATCCTCTGACTACATACAAAAAAGATGTTTACAAGAAGTTTTAATACTTCTATGCTAATAAAGTCCAATTACTTTCTTTAAATCAAACATAAAAAGTTTCCTTAAAACTTACTTACCTCACATCTCTCTTGTTTACAATCTCCTTTGAACAAACTGAACTCTTATGATCTACAAAGTTTAGCTTCCACCTTTACTACCTATAGCAAGAAAGTTCCTAAAGGGAAAAGAACCAATATTGAAGTATCTCTCACCTCTTAGTTATAGTAAAGATAATAGAGATTATATTTCAATAAAAAAACTCACTCATCTACTCTTTGACTGATGTTATGGTCTCTTAAAGGGATCTTTTTCACAGCTTTCTGAGGAATTTTGCCTATCACTGCTTGATCCTGAAATTTCGAATAGCACAAATCTCACCAATTCTGATTGGCTGACATGAAATATGCTGGACAAGATTAATAAACAAGTACTTATTGATCACCTCACATGTCTGAATACATTTCTTCAGCTCCATAGAAACCTAAAGTCCACTATAAGTCATGTGTTTGGTGTGAATGGATATAGGACATGTCTCTGATATATTATTAAATACAAGAAAAAATCTGTTCGACTATGATAAAGGTCACAAGATACTCAATTGACCTTTTTCTCAAATCAAAGCCACCTATATCCTGATTGTATATTAAGTAGATCTTAACGTTTACTGTTCAGAAAGCCTAAATTGAAGAAAGTATAGAGCTATCAAGGATACTTAATAGTAAAGCTCGTGTGCAAAGCAACCTAAGAAGTTTTCATCCTATTTTCAAAAAATCTTAAACTGGAAGACTGAAAAGCTAATGTTGCTATATCAATCGAAACTCAAGTTTGAAAATATCCACAGTATTGTGTGAGCCAGTTGGATAATCTGGGAAATTCTTATTGATCACTAACACCAACAGCCACTAACAGAATATATCTACTGCAAGGTTAGGTATTGTCCTTATATAAGGAATTAAACCTAAAATAAAAGGCATAGATAAATAAGTACATCCATATTTAGATAGAAATGAATTTAATTAATAATATACTGAAAAATTTTAAGTCACTTTTATGGATACCAATATACTACTCAGACCTTTCTGATTACTCCCTCCCCACAAGCCTTAAAACTGTAAAGTCTCCTTTTTGATCTCTGACTTATTTTCGTAAAAGGTTCAGTAAAAGTTTTTCTTTTCAAACCTTCCTATAGGAAAATCTAGAACAAGATGACATGAACTAAAAAACAAGACTGACATTCACTCCAAATAGTACATTACCATTCAATTTTTATTTTATTTTATTTTAATTTTATTTTGGATACTAGTATGCTCTAAGGATATTAGGTTTTCTTTTATAAAAAAAAAAGAGCAATAAACCTTGATATTTAAGAATAGCTTTAACTTATTGTTATTTTTATTGTCCCTGAATATACACTCTTGTACTTGTGCTTTGTACAATATATATATGTAATTTGGAAAACAATAAAGTTAGACATGAGCCTATTAAAAAAAAAAAAATAAATAACAAAATTAATAAATTAATTTTTTATATAAATATTATAACAATAATAATAATTGAAATGAAATTATTAAAAAATAAATAAATTAATTAAAACAATATAATAGAATCTTTCAAAACTATTAAAACAAATATATATAAATAAAATTATTAAATTATAGATTATTTATATTTAAAAATAAATAAATAATATAAAAAAATCTTAATATTAAAACAAATTAATTAAAAAATTTTAATAAATTCTTTGAAAAACTTTAAAAAATTTTAAAAAATATGCAAAATATTAATAAAAAAAATTTTTTTTAAATCAACTTATTTTTGTTTTATTTGTGAAAAAAATTTATTGTGTATATATAGTTAATAATGAGTCTCTAAAGTATTTAATATATAAAATTTCACAGATTACTTATATCCCTTTTTGAGGAACAAAATTTATAACTCTTTACTTTAATAAGAACAAAAGTCAGAAAATGCCATAAATCAATAAATTGGATAATGAAAAACAATTATAAATAGTTTTTTTATAGTTATTAATTTAAAATTTTTAATGTTTATTAGTAAAAAAAATTCGACTTTTGTCTTTATCTCTCTCTTTAGGAATCCATCTTTACATATGGTTATAAATTTACAATTTTTATATTTTTCTAATATATAAATATAACTATTTAAAAATAAATTTATCCTTTTTATTGATAAGCTTGTTATTATTTATTGTAGAATCTAACATATCAAAAATAACTAATTAGTATTGAAATCAGAAAAGAAAAAAAATTTTAACTAGGTTTATGATTCTTTTGAATGATCAATCTATATAATGATTGACAAAATCTAATTAGTAGTTTAAATAATAAGATATCTGATAATAGTTATACTTAAGTATAGCTTTTGAATTACTAGTTCTTTTTGATAATGTTGTTTACAATTTTTTATTCTATAATGAATCTGTAATACTTTTTTTAAATAGAATATCTCTATATTGATTTATGCACTTTTAAAATATTAGTTATATAGTTATATATAAATAAATATAGTCATTAATTGTTAGGATAAAATCTTTTTTGATAATACTTTTAATAAAATCTATAATTGCCTGATCAAATTTATTAAAAGATATATTACTTATTATATAGTAAAGAAAAAAATAATAGTAGATAGTTTGCAATCTTTTAAATTGTATATAAAGATATTTATTGATTTATATATATATATTTATTAATTTATAGTAAATAAGAAAATATAAAAAATAGACCTGTGGGTCAATAGCACAGTGGTAGTGCTTCCAGGTCACAATCACAAGGTCCGTAGTTCAATACCACTTAAGAGCCA